AGCTCCCGCTTCATCTAGTGCAGCAGGGCCCTCTGAGGTACCGCTTGAAGGTGATGATCCCAAGCCTCCTGAGGCCGAGCCCGGTGAGGCACATGCGGACTCAGAGCGTGAAGAAGAAATCCCAGCTGTTAAGACGGCGCGGTTGATCAAGGATGCTGCTTCTTGTGAACACAGATTAGCACATTTCCCTAAGAACCCAGCCTGTAAAATATGTACACAGGCCAGAATGTACGCTAGGAAGACAAACAAACTTAGACATGACCCGCTGCATGATCGCGGTTCGCTAGAGCCAACCACTGCGTTCAGTGAACGCGTCGCGGCGGACATCGTAGTCGTGTTCAAGGAGTCTTCCAAAGAGGATCGTGAATCGACCTTGCTTGTAGTGCGCGATGAATTCTCTGGCTACTTGCGGTCCTTTCCCCTAGTCAGGCGCACAACAGAAAACGTAGTCAGAGCACTTTTGCAATTTTCCGGTAAGCACGCGGAGTCGAAGCCTGTCGTCATGTTCAAGTCAGACAACGCGAAAGAACTTGAATCGGCTTGCCAGCAAATGTCTTGGGTCTCTGAGCCCACATTAGCTAATCGTTGGCCGCATAATTCTGTTCTCGAGCAGGACATCAGGTCGATCCAAGAGGTCACCCGCGCGGTACATTTACAAGCCGGTTTTGCAATAAGACCTGGTCTTTGGGCTCATTCGGCGGTATTTGCAACGTTTGTGTTGAACCTTAAGCACAGCATTGCCGACCGTAAGGAGTCCCGTTACGTAGCCGCCACCGGTGAGGAGTTCCCCGGGCGTCTTCTACTTCTAGGTCAGCTCGTGTACTACAGGACTGATCCCAAACACCGAGAGAAGTTTGAACCTTCCGCCGCACCAGCTTTGTTTTGTGGTTATCGGTTAGATTCAGGGCCGGAGTCCTTTAGAGGGGTCTACCTTGTTTTAGATTACCGGAAAACCAAAGACGGTACTCCTGGAAACGATCTTGCAATTTCGGTGCCCTTTGAAGAGTTGTTTGTCCCCGAGGGTGAAGAGATTTTCCCGATGCGCGCCGCTTTCGAGCGTGCGGTCGAGGGATTCACTGAACCTAAGTTTCCGGACATTGAGGGTTTAGAAGTGCCGTTCAGCCCACTTGGCCCCGACTCTACGCCAGCAAAGCGGCACGAGTATATCACTCTTGATCGTATAGTAAAATACGGGATAACCCCGGGATGCAAGGCTTGCAAAGGCGAAGCTGTGGTTCATTCTCCAGTGTGCAAGGTTCGCTTTGATGGGTTAGTGCGTGCCGACAAAACCGCCGAGGCCCGTATCAAATCGGTACCTCCGACACCAGTCAGTATTCCTCCAACGCCAGTTCCTCCTCCTGCACCTCTTAGTCCCGATCCTCCGGCAGAGATAGCGCCCGATGCTGCAGAAAGATCACCCGCTCATCCGGACGAGGATTCCGACGACTTTGGTGGAGGGTTAGGAGCATTGGTAAATCAGGAGTTGTTCGTTCCAGATGTCAGCTTTGTAGCCCGAGATCGCCAGATCCGTAGGTCTAAGGCTTCGAGTACAAACCAACTTGTCGAGTACTGCTGCAGCGACTCCTCCGAGATTGGTTTTGCCTGCACGATGTACGGGGTTGATTGTCTTAACATAGGATCTTCAACGATAGACTTCTCAGACCCAGCTCATGTTGATCAGGCCAAAGGTCAGATAAAGCAAGGCGCTGTGATCTGGATGCCTATGTTATGCCTTGAACAAACAGCACAACAACACCCAACTGTGCACGAACATAGAGCGAGTAAGAAAGCACAGCTCAGAAAGAGCCGGGCGAAGTGTCGCCAAATGCTGAAACTCGCAATCTCGCTAGCCGAAGAAAAGCTTTCCAACGGCTGCCATGTTGCAGTCGACTGCCCAGAAGGGGGTTGGCTCTGGAACGAGTCTGATTGGATTGAGTTCGAGAAGCGCGCGAACTTGAAAAGAGTAATGCTCAGCGGATGCTCCTCTGGTAAGCGGTCGTGCATCAGCACCACTTCTCTTCGAGTGCTCCAGCTGTTTGGACAACACGAGCACAGCCAGTCCACTTCGCAAAGTATGTCGAAAGGAGACGATTCCTATGCCAATAGCGACTACAACTCACAAGTCGCTCAGCTGATAGTCGAGTCATTCTTCCCCGAGCACTTCCATCGCCACACACCTTCGTTGTCGTCAAGTAATGCGTTAGTGACACGCAATCTTGCTAAGAGCGAATGGTTGAAGGATGCTCGAGGTTTAGAGGCTGTTCAGGCTGAGGGTGTAGGACTCCGCTCAAACCAGACATGGAGCGACGATTCCGTAATGCATTTGTGGCAACTGAAACAGGATTGCCGCAACACTGGACGCCGAGTCCAAATCGCTGAACTTCTGACGCTTTGTGGTGTAAAGCACTTTGAGTTGCACCCAACACAGCACAAGTACAAAGGCCGTGTAGTCTTTAGGGGGGACCAAGTGCGCGACGCTTCTGGTAACCCAGTGCTGTTCGGCTCAGAAGAAACTGCAACTACACCAACCGGGTTGGTAGGTCTTGCCGCTTGCCTCTTTTACGGGCTCCGCCCCGGTCACGCGACCTCTGTGGCAGATGCTATCCAAGCATACTTGCAAGCGAAGATCGGTCGAGAGACCTGGGTAATAATCCCTCGGGAGCTCTGGCTCCCCGAGTGGACCCAGAGGTTCCCTCCCGACAGCCGTCTTGTAGTTAAACTTGAGAAAAGCCTATACGGGCACCCAGAATCGGGTAAGAGATGGCAAGACCACTTAACCGTTCAGTTGAAAAGGCTCGGAGGTCGCGAACTTCCCGCCTACCCTAGCACTTGGGTTTTCGAGTTCGGTTCCCAGAAGTTAGTGCTTAATGTCTACGTCGACGACTTGACTTTAAGCGGACCCGTAGAGCTTCATTCCCAGTTCTGGCATAAGCTCCGTGGTCTTGTGAAACTTGAACCAGAGGTCTTTGTTCAAGGCGGCAATAATGGTTGTAGGATTCTAGGGCGGCATCACAGTTTCACGCGTGATGACTCAGTAGCCACTTGTGAATTTGACATGATTGCTTACACGCAGCAACTTGTTGATTTCTATTGTGAAATGACCGGTGTAGAGAAAAGTAAGCTTCGCAAAGTAGCGTCACCTGCTTTCCCCGAGAACCAAGCAACTGACAGCGAGCTTAACAGCACCGGTGAGTTACACGGATCCGCCTCCCGCATCCTGATGCGAGCCCTCTGGCTCAGCAGACTTGCTCGCCCAGACATCTCGTTCATAATCACGAGGTTAGCTTCTAAAGTGAGTCGATGGGATAGATTCGACGACCGTCAACTACTGCGTTGTGTGTCGTATCTCCATCACTCAAGTCGTGTGACTTTAAAAGGGTCTGTTTCGCAACAGGACTTGGGTTGCCAGATAGAGGTGTATACAGACGCAGACTTTGCGTCTTGCCCTTTGTCAGCGAAAAGCACGACTGGAATCCTCGTCGTTGCAAAGACCGGAGACTGCGCGTATCCACTCCACTGGGTATCGCGTAAGCAATCCTCCACAGCTCGGTCCACGACAGAGGCCGAAACGATCTCTCTCGCGACCGCCATGTTCTCAGAGGTAGAAAACCTTCAAGAATATTTAGGCGATATCCTTGGGTTTGAGATCCCGGTGTTTTATAGGCAAGACAATAATACCGTGATTTCCATTCTTAAGGCAGGCTATTCTGCTAAACTCCGCCACATGCCTAGGGTGCACAGGGTCAACGTAGCGTCTATCTGTGAGAGACTCGCAGAGCCGCACGTCGAGATAACCTTTTGCCCTACGACGGAGCAACGAGCAAATGGGTTCACGAAAGTGATTAGCCCCCAAGAGTGGCCATCCATGCTGGAACAGCTTTGCCTGTCTGAGGGTTCCGCAAATGCCCCGATACCTGCTGCTCCATCACAGAACTTCGTTCCTGAAGATCCTCTTGCAGATACTGATCCTGAGTCTGTTGCCGGCATCCTGCCACACAGACTGACAGAAAATAATATTCTGCAGCTGTTCCACCTTCTTCCTCCAGATTCTTCGTCTCGCCCAGTTGTCTCTTCCGAGGGTAAGGGATTTACAACCGGAGCGTATGCACATGGAGGTGGCATAGTAGGGTTAAGGAGCAATACGTCCATGTTCAGGGGGGTTACGCGTGTCCTCACAAGGTTCGTTCGGCAACAGGCCAAGAACCTAACCTTCACTGCTGTAGCGATTTACCAAGGTTGTCAGTTTGACTTGCACACTGACAAGTACAACGATCCAGGATCGTACAACTTTGTCTACCCGCTAACCAAGGTAAAGGGTGGTCAGATATGGGTCCAGGATCCACTTGGTGAGCAGCAATGCCCACAGCGTGATTGCAATAGCCCAGGTCGCATTGAAGAACTGCCTGCACTCTTCCAGCCGTCTGTTAGACACTGCACTGTGCCATGGGAAGGGCCACTTCAGTCCCGTGTCGTGCTAGTCGCGTTTACGCCTCGAGCACCAGCTGAACTGAAACCGCCTGAAGCGCAGTTGTTAGACGAGTTAGGTTTCCGAGTGCCGCGCAGTAGAACTAGTTTCCTGTAAGTAACTGTTTCACGCTGTCTACAAGGGGGGAGTTGAGAAATCACGAGCCCCCAGGCCCTTCTTATGTAGATCATCTTGAAGCAGTTTCACTCGAAGACGTTATCACCGATATTTGGCTCAAGACACAAAAGAAGCGTTATCATCACTGTGTCTTGGAATCAGAGATTGCCCTGCAATTAACTATTTTGGGGTTATAGGCCCAGGGTTTCTTAATCAGGTTCCTACATCATCCTCCAAGACCTCCACTGCGTACTGCCCAACACTTCCCGCAGCGACAGATTCCAGCAGGTACCCTCAACATCCCTCAACCCCAGCCCGTATAGAAGCCCTATTCTAAACCCACAAACTATAAACCCCTTATAGGTCCTATATAAAACATTAGCCCCAAATGCCGGAAAGCCCACACTTTACGTTCCAGGTGGATTGCGAAGGATGCGAGTGGGACGTTTTCGCACCGCGCATCTGGGTCCGGGGCTCAGTGGCTGATTCCCCAGGGGTCAATGTACCCAAATCGTATACGCTTTGGGCCCAAGGTACCTGTATAATATAGGGACTACGTTAAGTGCAAAGTATGTACTGTTTGGGCACATGGACGCTTAGGGATTCCCTAAACCCTAAACCTAAAGGTTTCTAGGAGTGCAAGGCAGGGTTGTGTAAACAGGTAAGCCTTAGGCTTTGAAAATGGGGTTTCCGTTAAAATAGGGGACCCTAATATAGCACCCGAAATAATAGGATCCTTACTATAAGGACCCCAAAATAAGGTACCCCTCATTTTCGGAAGCTCCCATATGGTCTTGGGTTTTGTGCAAGGAACAGTATCGATTGCTCGTCAGCCAGGCTCCTGTATGAAGTGCTTATCATATCACGCTTTTGTGAAGGGTCTGTCGGAAGCTGATAAAGGTTTTCTACCATAACTGTCCGCAACCCAGGCTGTTCGACCCTTGGTGGGTGAGTGAGTATATGCGAGGGCTTCGGGATTACAGGGCTTAGGGTTCAGGATGTTAATCGGCCCAGACGGCGGGTTGTCTGAAAATCTTTCAGGGGTTGGAGTTTGGGGTTTAGGCTTTGTGCTCTTAAGGCGTTAGGGCTGTTTTGTGTCGGGGCACTACAGGGCTGTTACAAGGAGCATTCGTGAGGAAAGAGGATTGACGATAACACAGCTTCCGGTTTAGGGGGGCTTTGGATTTACTTGCGGTTCTAGAGCCATAGGGTGTAGGGTTTAGGGGTTTAGGGTTTGGGGCCAGGAAGCAGGATCCGGTTGTCTTCCCTTCCTGGAAAATCGACATGTTTGCTTTTGCATTTTCCAAGAACTTGCGTATGTCCACCAATTTTCGACCTTAGGTGCTTCAGGCAAATCATGGCAAATTTTAAGACCCCAACTTGTGAAGATGCGAAAGTCTTAACGTCCCAACGCCAAAGCAATCTTCAGACCAGGCAAGCCCCCCCCAAAAAAAAGAAGAGCCCTGAAACCATAATGTAGAGGCCTAAAAGTTAGAATAGGGTTTTGGGCGGTTCCTTGTTTAGTATAATATGTCCCCAAGCCCTTTTACAATTATGAAGGCCTCTATAGTACTTATACCCTAAACCCCCGGCCCCATAAGCCCAGTGGTGGCATTGCCGGTGCCAGGAGCGAGTTCGGCGGCGCATTCGGCACGCAGCATGGCAACAGTTAATTTCTACTGGGGGGGGGCTTTCAGGCTTGCAGAGATTAGGGTGTAGGGGTAGGGCTTTAGAACTTACGTAAGGTTTGGATGATGAGGGTGAGGACGACGAGTGACTGTGACTATCTTGATCTCTCGGTATGCTGAGTAACTCTCATCAGCAAGTCCGACAAGGAAAGGGGAAAAGGAGGGACCCTTAATGGGGATCCCTACCCTATAACGGGCTATAAAATGGGTATGTAATAGCTATACTAAGGGTACATACCTAGGGGTCCTTATTAACGGTCCCTCCTTTTACCCTTGGAGACAAGGAAGCCCTAAACGGGCTGCAGCCATAAGCTTGGAACCCTTCGCCGCCAAGCCTTGCTTTACAAGATGGTGCAACCCCTTCCCTAAGGGTCCATGTACCCAAATAGTATATACATTGGCCTTACAGTAGTCCCTATATAGGTACATTGGGGCCAAAGTATATACTATTTGGGTACATGGACCCTTAGGGATTGCAACCCCATGATCATGGGCTGGCCTTCAAAATCCCAGGCAACTGGAAAGGTAAGTGGCTCTTTTGAAAAATGTAACTCAGCAATAGTATTGTATTAGATTTGCATGTAATGTAATATCATATATTCTAGCATAGTACTTTCGCTCTAGCAGCACTTTAAGTGCTGCTGTTCAGCCCCCTCCATTTCACTTGCTGTCATTGTTTACATTGCCGGTGGTGCTCCTCTTCTTGTGCTGTGACGATGCTGCTCTTGTTGTTCTTACACATGCTGCTTCTGCTGCTGCTGCTACTGCCGCCGATTCTACTACTACATACATGCCTGCTACCAGCCTCTCAACAAGATGCCATGCAGTGCAATAAGTAACATGCATGTTAGCAGGGTTGAGACCTTTGGCAAATCTCGTCGCATCAAGCACCTGAAGCCCCCGTCCCAAATATTGCAAGTCAAACCGGTCCCTGATGGTAACCCCGACCCGTATTCCTATAGGAACCCTTGTAGCCCCATTTCCCCGAACCCTGACACGCACGTCTCAAAGGGTCTCAAGACTACTACTCCAAACGCTGGGAGCTGTGGGCCCTTAAGCAAACGGTTCTGGACTCTGGCACCTTTGCTCTTGGCCCTCGCGCCGTAGAAGCGTCAGCTTACCCTTAGACTCAAGGGACCATGTTTTGAGCCTGTTCTGCCCAAAGTCGTACTGAATGAGCCTGGTTCGAGGCTTTGCCTGTGGCCTTTGGTGGTTTACTTGGCGGCCTAGGGGACTTAGTAAGTAGGTTATATGTAGGGTTAGATTTGGGGTATCTCCATTTAGGGTACTTACAACCCTACTTATAACCTACTTACTAAGTCCCCTGGGCCTCCAAGTATCTGCTTCTACCTGGACCCAAAAGCATGCAGTAAAGCATGTTTGTTCAAAGGTGAGTGTTGGGCCAGGGGCATTATTTCACCTGTGTTTGGAGCTTTAGGGCATCCTCGGCCGTTAGCCTTAAACCCCAAGCCCTAGTTTCGGAGAGAGGGTTTGACAGCAGCACCCCAGCATAACAGCAGGACGAACTAGGAAGTGTTAGCGAGAGCCAATGACCTAAGCACACGAACGCAAAGACATGGATGGATCTCTTTTCCATGCTTCGCATGGTGACCCAAGGGAAGGAAGTCTTGTGATGCTTGTTTTTTTGAGCAGATGAGGTTTGGGTGGAAGTTATCACGGCTGGCCATGGGGTCTGCGTGGACGGTTGGCCCATGGATGCTCCAGGGAACGGATGATGATGAGGTCTAACGTCGCAGTTGACCCATGGTTGCTTTGGGGAACGGATGAGGTCCGGCGGTTGATATCATGGTTGACCCATGGGTGCATTGGGGAATGGGTGAGATCTGGGTAGACGCCGTCACGGTTGGTTGATGGATGCTCTCGGGATCTGGGGGACGGATGAGATCTTGGTCATGGATACTCTGGGGAACGCATGAGGTCGGGGTTTTCGTTATCATGGTTAGCCCGTGCTCCTAGGCTAACTACCACGTTTCTTCATGCGCCTGTATCCTCATAGGATCCCATTCAAGCCCCCAAATCCCTAATTGTCCATGTTGCCCTAAAACCTTAAACATCTTTAGACCCTAGACCCTAAACCCTTAAGCCCTAAACCCTAAACATCCCTAAACCCCTTAACCCCTTAACCCTAATCCCCTAAACCCCCAACCCTAAACACCCCTAGACACCAAAACCCCTACAGTAGAAGCCAGAAAGTTGGAATATGATTATCCTAAACCCTTTATGGTAAATTACAAGGTATCCTACCCTGAAACCATATTCCAACTTTCTGGAGTTCCGTGTAAACCCCAAAGCCGCCAAAGCCCAGGAAGCCCCTGTGTCATAGGGATCCTTAGGGGTGTAGGGGGGAGGGGTGTAGGGGACTATATTTCCTTAAATAGGCCTTATTAGTCCTTATTATGGGCCTTAAGGCCCCCTACCCCCCCCCTCCCCCTACACCCCTAAGGATCCCTATGACTGTGTTTGCCCAGGTTGCCACCGAACTCCACCTCTGGGCCCTTCCAGACAAAGCCGCTGAAGGCCACAGCGAATGCCTGCTTGGAGGGTCGGGGGACTTAGTAAGTAGTTATTTTGGGGACTTATAAGTACCATAACCCCAATTAGCGTCCCTTTTAGGGCACTTATAAGTCTACTTACTACCTACTTACTAAGTGCCCCGACCCTCCAAGTGGGGACCGGCGTTCACAGAAAGCTGGGTTCTGCAGTACCTTTTCTAGATACTTTGAAAGTACATATATGGTGGTTTCCGAAAATAGGGGTAGCTTATTTGGGATCCGTTTAAGGCATTATATTAGGGTCCCCTATTTTCGGAAACTCCCATAATATCTACGTTTTTTTGAAAGGGATAAAATGAGGGGTACCCCATTTGGGGGGTCCTTATTCTAAGGATCCAACTCTTGAGGGCACTACAACAAGGTACTTTTTTATCGGAAACTCCCATATATTGCTGTACAGATATAGTTAGATAGGTATAGATGGTAGACCCTAGGGTTTTTATATTGGAAATTACGATTATGATTAGGGGGAAGTATTGCGCCACAATGGCAAACAGGGTTCTACTGTGGGGTTTGGGAGTTTAGGCTTGTTGAGTTGTGGGTAGTTCTCTCGATTAGAGTCTCTTTCAGAGTCCTTTTTACAGGGGTGCCGTACGGTGCTGTACGATTTTTTTGACCTAAAATTGGCTGTAAACCCTGAGCTCTCTGGAGCCTACAGCATCCAAGACCACTAGCCTCACAGCCAAAAGCTTCGAAAGAGTTGAATCAAACCCTACAGCCTAGACCCGAAACCTTCAAACCTTGAGCCCTAAACCCCCAAACCTTTAACCCTAAACCTCCAAACCTCGAACCTAAACCTCCAAACCTTGAACCCTACACCCCCAAACCTTGAGCCCTAAACCTCCAATCGTTGAACCCTAAACCCCCAAACATTGAACCCTAAACTTAAGCCCCAAACCCTGCAACTCAACGCCTCCATTCCGGCCTCGAGCCCCGCGAAAAGACCCTGGAACCAGGCTTTAGGGCTTTATGTTTTAGGGTTTAGGGTTTCAGGGTTTAGGGTTTAAGCCCCCCAGACTCAGACAGGACAGGATCCCTGTTTCCTCCAGCCCAAGCCCTGCAAGGGCTCGAGAGCGACGTCAGAGCGCTGGGGGCCCGATTCCAGTGCGTTTCATTCAGTTGCCGCGTGCTTTTTCCTGAGGATTTAGGGTTTAGGGGCTGAGAGGGTTCTTTAAGGGATGCACTATAGGGTTTCTATACTTTGTCTTGGTAGCTGAGTAGGCCATCATTATGAACTTTTTGGGGTTTACATCCACTCCTACCATACTTGAAACGGTTAGCCCTTTTTGGGACTTGTTTCGCGGTGTTACGGACGGCCTGGGATTGTAGGGTTAAAGGTTTTCGGGTTTGTAGGGTTGAAGGTTTGGGGGGCTCGGGTTTTAGAACTCATGCGGCTTACCCTCAGGCTCCAAAGTAGTTCCTTTTGGGGGTTCATATTTAGAATCCTATAAGGTAATCCCAAAAAGGCACTACTTTGGGGCCTATGGGTATGGTGCAGGGTCTGATCCGATCGGAGAAGGTCAAAGGCTCGAGGTCCAGCATTTGGAGCAGGGCCGCACGGCTGAAAGCTTGCAGGCTTGACGATCTCAGCACACGGAAGGGGGCTCTCCAGCAACCTTCAACCAGACGAGGGGGCGTTGCCCCACCGCCACCGAATGCCTTGGACTGGTCGCGGGGGTGCTGGACGAACGCGTCACCGGGAGTGAGCTACCCACAACAGGGGAGTACATGGACAGCCAAGCTGTGATGTCCCGATCAAGAGTTTTCAATCAAAAATCGAACCTGAGCCCTAAACCCTTAACCGCGAAAGCCTTTAATCCTTAAACCCCTGAGCCGCTTCCACCCGAGGTCGGTCTGCACGCGCCAGATTGAGCGCGAGAACCTCCTTTGCTCAACTCCATAACAAGAAAAGCGGGCAATGCGGGGTTTAGTTTGGAGGTTGAGGGTTTGCGGTTTGTTGTGGGTTTAGGGGTTCGGTTTAGGCTTTATGTAGGGATTCAGTGTTACAGGGTTTAGGGGTTTGGGGGAGTTTAGGCGTCTAGGGTTTAGGGTATAGGGTTTCAGGGTGGGGCGAAGTAGCATTGCTGTTTCCCGGGGTTCCCTACGATATTCGTGTTATATATACCAAAACCCTCTTCTGACTCAAGGGTGCAAGGTATGCAGGATGTAGGTGGTCTTACAGTCCTCACTTTGGTACACGTACATAACGTAGAAGTCTGCAGATTTTGTCGCACTTCCAATCCCCCCCATGTTTAGAGTTTTTGAAACATAGTGTCTTGGCTGGTCTTCAGGGTTCTCGTCCCAGAATCGGGACAATTAGAAGAGGGTTCCTTTAAGGGTTCCTTTCCGGCGGCTCTATCGGGCTACCCAGAGTTACTGGAAGGGCTACCATAAGGATTTAGTATAGGTCCTGGGATTGAGTTTGGCGTTTACGATCTAAGTTTCTGTTTGTTCCTCAGGAAGCACGTCTCAGCCAACAGGGGTTATGTTTCAGGGTCTGTGGTTCCGGACGGAACCCTCGACCCCACATATACTTAGTTGTATCCTAGCCCTCAACATCCCAAACTCCTCAATCGAAAGGCCCTAGACATTCCGTGGTTGTCAATTTCCGGAGCGCCAGGCTTAGACTCTACGTCCTAAGTGGTTTGGGGTTAGGGATGGTTAGGGTGTTAGGGTTTAGGAGTTGGGGTTTAGGGGTTCGGCTTTAGGGCATCCTTTCAAAACCTAAATCTCGACCGCATGGCTTTCAAGCTTTGAGCTCTCGTAAGTCAGTGTTATTTTCAATCTGTATGTGCATATATACACTGTAGATGTACATATGTATATATATATATATATGTACATATGTATACATACATACATATGTCGATAGCTAGCTAGGTAGATAGATGGTTCGACAGATAGCTAGATAGACCGATAGATGGACAGGTAGATAAACAGCTAGGTGGATAGAAATAAACAGAGAGAGAGAGAGAGAGAGAGAGAGAGAGAGAGACAGAGAATGTGAGAGATAAGACAACCAACACTGACGGAGAGACTGAGAATCAGAGGCAGACAGGAAGGCAGACAGACAGAGGTGCAAGAAGTTATACATCCTTGGTTTAGGCTGGGGATATGAACCACCCTTAACCCTTACGCCTAAGCCCGTTTTCGGGTTTAGTTTGATTCGGAGGATCGAAAGGCACACGAGGAGCGCCATGAGCTTTGGCAAGGCACCGCGCAAGGCTCCTCTTGGCGCCTCGCTAGAAAGGATGGGGGGCTAGCTAGATGCGCCTTGTTATGAGAGTAGGTGGGTCTCTGCAATTGCAAGTGTACATATATATCTGTATAGATGGATAGATATAGATATAGATGTACATACATATATACACATACATATATATATATATATACATACATGTGTATATATTATATAAATACACAGCCTATGTTGTGAGGATTAGTAGGGGGCTGCGGACTGGCTTGGCATGTTCTTCGGAGTCAGCAACGTGTATGCGTTTACGCACACTTTGATTGAATCCCCTCTGTTATCTTTCCAGCAGATCTCATCCAGATGAGAAGCTAACGAAAAGACAGAAAGATGACTTTGAAGAGTCTGACACGGCTTGCAAAGCCCAATTCGAAGGCATCGAAGGCCTGAGACAAACGGCTGGACGACAGTCACGTTCCCAGATGCTGAGCCTCTGTGATCGCCTTCGCTGGCGTGCGTCGCTCACAGGGCAATGCGACAACCAGGCTGTCAAGCTGTCGATAAGGTTGCCCGACGGTGTTGACCCCAGAACTGCTCTTGAGACCCACCCCGAGTACATCCAAAAGTCAGTCGAGACATTCTACGATCAGCTGAAGAACGAAATCGACTCGAGGATCTTGACTTGCCCTTGAAATCTCAAAAACCTGGAGCTTTCTCGCGCGTTGGGGGGTGTGTGGCATCTCAGGATTGACCTTCTCCAGATAGAGGTACCTGTTCATAAATATTCAGAGCTTCAAAACTGCAACCCAGTTCTGGTCTCCAGGGTTTGGGGCTTTGTGGTTTCAAGGGTTCAGCTTACGGGGTTCAGGGTTTAGGCTTCCGGCGACTTCCGGGTTAGGGGTTTCGGGGTTTAAGGTGTAGGGTTTAGAGCTTCGGTTTATAGGTTCAAGATTTAGGGTTTCGGTTTCTGCGAGCTTGGGATTCGAAGGTTTTGGGATTCCGGTCGTTTCCGGTTCTTCTGGGTATGGAGACTACCAAGACCCTGATTTCACGTGCTTTGGTTTAGAACCAACTACATGCCCAGGAGGGAAAGAAGGTAAGCAAGAAGAGGAACTATGTTTTGTTGGGACTGTAGGTAAGGTTCAGAGTGTAGGGCACGCTTGACTCGTCGACCCGATGTAGCATGCCTCGCCACAACGCGGGTTATCATAAGCCCATAGTCACAAAGGCGAGATCTTTGACGAGGATTCTGACAGGTCAGGTCCGTCTAAGCATATCCTAGCATTTTGGGCTTGACTACGCTACACCACTAAACTTCTAAAAGCCCCAAAACCTTAACAATATTTTAGGTGGATCTGTGGAGTTCTTAGAGACAGCTCACATGTCATGAGCTAAGGCATGTTCGTCAACAAACACCAGCCAAGGCGGCGGGGCTTTCTTGTTTCCGGCTTGGGATTGAGTATAAGGATCTAAATAACCAGAATAGATGTTTAGAGGGACTTTTTCTATGACCAAATATGCAGACCTCTATTCGAGGGATGACAAATAATGACTTGCCGATTCTGATACTCCTTCCCCCGGCCCCTCCGGTCTTGGAAGACTTGTTTGCCCTCAAGTGAGAAACCGATACATACAGATCCCAAGCTTCGTGTTGTCGAAATTGATACCAGTACCGTTGGTCGGATCTGACATGCTGTCTAGCTGTTCTGTCTGCTGAATGTGTTCACTTCGTCGCCTTCTGCAAAGTTCGCTTCACTATGCCAGTTATTGGCAAGTTGGTGCCTCCTCGTGTTCACATCGTAGACGCTTTCCTCGGACGTGCACGGCACCCTGTTCATTGAATTCAAGGATCTCGAACAGAAAAGGGGTTGGAAGTAGATTCCTCTCCGGCAGGTGCCCTTAGATCCAGCACGACCCATGCCAACATGATTTTGCTGGGGGTTTGAAGTTGCTAAGCCATGACCGACGGAAAAGTGTTCAAGCCAACGCAGTCGCGCAAGGCATACGTTGCGGCCTTGGAAGACAAAAGCCGGTGCCAGCACAGTTGGACCGGGCCGCAGGCTGAGTGCGGGCGCCCAGCCGAAGCTCGCGAGGAGCATGAGGATGAAGTGCCGGAAGCGACGCCTGACACCGACGAAGTTCAGGAGCAAGAGATTCCGACTGTGCCAGCAACATGGCTCCCCCTCCTCAGCGCTCTCACCGGTGTGGAGTTGGCCCGCATCGAGGCACAGGACTTGCGCACCTGGCACTGCTGCGCCAGGCCAGGAGCTGGAAATTCACCCCCAGCCCTGCAGTGCCACATTTCAGGTGTCGCAACGGCGCTTTCAAGAATGAACCCTAAACCCTAAACCCTAAACTCTAAACCCTAAACCCTAAACCCTACGATGTTTGGACGGCAACACCGTCGTGATGTTCGGAGGGCCCCGCAGCAAGGAGCCCCGGGCCCCCCTCCCGGCCTCCCCCCGCCACCCCCCTACCTTTGCCTACCCAGACCCCCGGGAGGATCCAAAAAGGTAGATCCCTTAATGGGGGTTCCTATAAAGTACCCTTAGTAGTGTAGGGCCCCAAATTAAGGGATCTACTTTCTAGATCCTCCCGGGGGTCTGGGTAGGGAATGGAGGAATGGGGTATATACCTATCCCAAAGGGTCCTAGGTACTGTTATGGGGAGTAATTCCCCCCAAATCATAATCGTAATTCCTAACATAGAAACCCTACATTCTACTATATGGGTACTTTGGACCCTTTGGGTATAACTACTATTACTGTAAGAGTGGCAGGTGTAGCCGTCGGCTCAAGGCTTGACCCCAAGAGCTGGCTCCCCTCCCTGCGCCAACCCCAGACGCCCCAGACCCGAAGCTCCGAGCCCTAAACCCTGAATCCTGAACCTAAACCATGACCCTAGGCCGAACCCTAGACCGTGGGCGGCTTTGTTCTGAGACCCGACAGCATAAGCCAAGACAAACCCGAATA